TAAATATACATTTTATATATATACTATATCTATGTAAGATACAGATCTTAACCGCACACAATTTTGCTGAGAACATTTGAGATTATAAAAATGTTAAGGATTATTTTCAGTACTCATATGACTCACCAGTTTTTATTTGATTTGATAGTTTCACATTTTGCTCATATTGAGTGGGAGCTTTCAGTTTTGCTTTGGGTCAGGATCCCACCATGGAAATGCCACCCTGCGAAATTCTGCACATGGATCAGTAAGAATTCAGAACTGAGTGGCCACAGCTAAGGAACCATCACTGCAGTGATATAAGCCACACATAAAAAGCAGGTTCTTACCACTCTTTCAAACACACTTTTTTCTCCACTTTTCACTCACATGGAAAATTCACAGGAGCAGATGAAGGTTACACTACCTTTCAACAGATCTGCACAACAAAATAGTTCTACTCAAAAAGATTTGGGAAATACAACCTGCAAAACGTTACTGAAAGAGTCATGAGATACCCTTTCAAAAAATCCGATTTAAACACAACTTATGCCTTGTTTTAAATAATGGCAAAAAATAAAAGTCTTTTTTGCTTGTCCATTTTTAGGGCCTATCAAAATGCCACTGAATTTCTACTTTTAATATTGTCATGACATGGATTAATATTTTAACAGAGTGCTAGAAACCTCGCCTCATGGATTCTAAGCAATATGAATGAAGTTCCTTATCATCCCTTAACAATGTACAATCATTTAACCTGTAAAAGAATTCATTATTTTATTCCACCAAGAATTCAAATAGCACTTTCCCAAAATGTTATGATTCATGTTGTAAATTTCTGAATGCAAGACTATCATAAGGTTTTCTGATGGAACTCCAGGTGGAATAAAGCTTTTCCCTTAGAGCAGTCCCTCTTCCCCTTCCTCAAGCATGACGTTTACCCCTCAGTTAAAATCACCTTCATCGTAACATTTCATTTGCATCAGTAGGTTGACTCTTCAGAAATTCACCATTTGCAGACATACCTAACATTGTGATAATCTCATGATCTTATAATAGGTTACGTAGAAAATCATGAATTATCTTCTATCACAAAAATAACCAGCTGCTTGGGTAGTGGGAAAATATTTGACTTGCATTTCTTGATGATACGTTTTAAAGAAGAGTTATGAAAAAACTTCTGTCCTCTGCACACTAGAAAATCTCCATGTAACTGGTGGGAACTTAACATGCCTGAGAACTTTCCCTCTTTAGCAAAGTTGGGTCAAATGTTGCAGGTCGACAGCCTGATCACGTAAGCCTTATTTCTTTGAGAAAACAGGCTGAAAGCAAAAAAAATGCCTAACAAAGAATAACCAGCACAGAAACTACATCTACAGCTAGTTGTAAGAAATAAGCTGACATTCCAATTTAAGAGACAGATTAAACATGCTTAAACAGGATTTCCTTCAACCTGTAATTTAAAAAAACCAAACACCACCACAAAGAAAACTAAAACACACGTGACACCAAGCCCTAACAGAAGCTCATGACTAATGAAGTTGCAAATAAAGCTCTGATCACAGCAGTCATCCATATTTCTGCAGAAAAAAACCCTTAAAAACAAAACACAAGATTTGACTCAAACATCGTACTACCGGTGAAGATTCTTGAATAACAAAAAGTAAATGCCTTAACAAGCACATGGGAGCAGCCTTCCTGCTACTCTCAGCTACCATTACTCTTCCTTTTGACTCAAAGTCACAGAGATCCTGAGTGTCCTCAAATATTCTGATGCAGGCAAAAATGGAGGGGGGGGAACTAATTATCAGTGGTGTCACTGCTGATCAAACTAAGAACAGAAGCTCTAGGAGATGTATGTCTGTTATGGGCATGCAGAATGCTATCCCTCAGACGCAAGGAATTATAAACCTCCTTGTACAAGACCACTGAGGCTTTTTAGAACTGATTTGAAAACTACATAGCACAGAAAATAAGGCTTTTGAAAATTATTCTCTAACACCAATTTTAGAACTACACTTAGAAGAGCCAGATTTGCAGATGTGGAAGTCCCAACTGTTCTTCTAGACTCTTACATATTAAAATAAAAATGTATCTGCAGTCAGGGATACAAGTTAACAAAGCTTAATTTCAGTCATGGATTTTTCACAAACCAAAAGCTTCCGAAGATGACATAGGTAGCAGGAAAAGGATATACCTATATGAAACCTGAGCAAAAGTTAAGTAGCAGTCAAGGCATAGACTTTTAAAAGGTTGCTTTCGTTTTTCTTACACACACCTTTTTGTTTCTCTTAAAGAACTCATTTTCTTAGGTTATCAATGGCTAACCGTACAAAAAGGATGGGAAGCAAGATGACAACAAAATCCCCTCTTGGTTAGTTCTCCAATTCTTTGACAAGTGAGAACCTGCTTTCTTCTACATCCACTATTTCCTCATGGCAGGATGACTGGAAGGCTCAATCTGTAGATACAAGTCAAATTACTCATTTTTTCTTTGTCAGAGTTAAATTATTTTCTTATTGCACAGATGGTGGTTAAATGCAGTCTCCTGTATTAAAGCAGAAATCTCATCCAAAGCAACTTCTTCCTTTGCCTTCTTGCCACATCAAATTGGAAAATCAGACTTCCACAGATCCTCGATACCTAGCTAGTTATAAGCTGAAGGATTAATTTGATGGTGTGTAATAACTCCATAAAGAAAAGGATCATTTACTAAATATTGAATAAGTTTGCAGTGGGGAAAGAAAAAAAAGAGAGTTCTTTGCTAGGGGATCCATGGAATAATACCTCCAAACAAGCTCTACTTTTTACAGGTGCTAAACAAAAAGAACTATTGGAAGAGTGTTTCATGACAGCGACAGTTTTCTTCTTTGGCATAAGATATTTAGACTCTTCAAAGTTGTACTTCACTTCTATGGCTGAGTTTCAAGTAACAGGCAACTAGGGCAACTACAGAATAACCATTTTGTATTTCACCTCCAAAAGCATACCACCCCTTCCCCCCCAAAGAAAGAAAAAAGAAAAAAAGGAAAGAGACAAAAAGAGCCAAAAGACAAACTGCTTTCATCTCATTACTCCCCTGCTCCTCTTTCTGATAAGAGATGTTAGCAGAGCACGTTTTAAACCAACAATATTTTGAAGTGCATTACAAAATTAATCATGTTTTCTGGATAGCACTTGACCTCCCCCAGAATCAACTGCTTCTGCATAACGCCGTTTTGCCTGTTGAATAATATGGATGTCTAAAACAAGCAGCAGCTGAAGGACTTGCCTGAAAATAGTGCCTCTGTTACATCATTCACTTTCCTCTGAAAGGCCCTGTTGGAGCAACACTGAGCACAGAAGATCAACACTGTGTTCCAAAATACAGTTACAATACCAAAAGCAGATCTGTTTCCAAACATGTAAAAAGAGAATATACAGATAAGGCAATAGTTTTTAAGACATCTTTCTCATAGTTGCCTTTTATTAAAAGTATCCCAGTACATTCTTGATTATGCTTTAGAACCGAAGTGTTTATAATTTTTCTTAGTGTTCCAGTGCCTTTATACAAAAAAGAAATTTGCAGTGGTATTAAAATGCCCTCAAATCTGGAATTCTGTTCTATCATAGTTCAGATCCAAGTACACATCACATTTCATATATGAACTATCTTTATTAGCCTTACTAGAATTCTTCCCTCTTTCTGCTCCCCTCATGGCAACTAATGTTATCACCTAACCTACCCAGGAGAATATCTCATAATGGAAAGCTACCTGTTTATAGTCTAAAAATCCTGATTAGCAAACAATTTTGACAACTTGCATGTATATACAAGATAATCTACAGGAGCTGCCTAGATATAGCTGTTGCTGAAACAGTTAATATTCCATGAGAAAGACAACTGAATCAGAGCTAGACAGAAGAATCCTCATCAAGAGTCACGGGGTGAAAGGCAGCATATACACATCTCAAAAGTTCTATGCATTTTATTGATTTCTGAGTTCTCCAGGTCCTGAACTAAGGTATTTACAGGCTGAATTGGTCTAGTCTTTAAACTCCTCAAAACTACTGGTACACCTATTATGCTAGTTAACCAGTATTACCTAAAACAATGTATAGGGTGAAATGTTGGCTTCATTAAAAGTAATTTTCCCAAATTAAGATGAGATTTCTCTTAGCAAAGGAACCCTTAAAGCATGAATTGTCACACTAGGTAACTAGTCTTACCAATAGCCTCAAAAACACCAGTAGTAGCATTTTGCATTAAAATAGCAAGTAGGAAGAAAATGAAGGTTCTATATTTGTTTAAGGGATCCTTCTAGAAAATAATACTATCATTCATTTATACAGAGCAACAGAGTTAAGTTTCTTGTAAACTTGATTCACCTCCTACTTGATATTACAACCGCATGATTCTACTTGATATAGTTAAGTGCATGCTGGAACAAGGTAACTGAATCTATCATTACAATTTGTATTGCACATCTATCTGGTGATATTTAGGCAACAATTCTTAATTGCTAATATATTAAACCCAAATGCTTCCAACTTGTAACTGGCCAATTCTTCCATGAAGCTCCAGTTGCTTAAGTTTAATCACTGAAGTAATTGAAAGAGAAGATCGATGCAAAGACTGCGACAGCAGCTGCTATTACCACACCTAAAACAACAGAGGAAATGCATTCAGTGAATGACAAGGGCAGCAGAGTCATCAGCAGCTTGGGTGTGGAGGGCAGGGTCAAGGTGAGTGACAAGCAGGAGGAGAAACAATAAGAGGCACCCCAAAAACTAGCTACCACTAAGCTTAAATCTAAATCTACAATGTCAGATAATTAAATTATAAATTTATAATTTACACATGACATTTCTAATCAGAGTAGGATCCTTCCAGAAATCCAGTTGACTGCATACTTCTGTAGTACCTTGGCCATGTCCTGGACCATAAAATAATGCACTGACTCTGCACTCCTGCTTAATCCTAGGAATCAGTCTAGAAAAATAACAAAAAGTTTAAGCTTTAAGAAACAAAAGCTGTTCTGTTTTTTCTCTTGTGTGGCACTACATCTACTCTGTCAGCCTCTGTAGCACGAGTCATCTTTCTATTGACTTACATGCTTGTTACTGATGCAGTTGAGAAGACAACACACAAAAAACCAAAACACCTGATTGATGTTTCAAGGGAAAACATTTTTACATCTAAAGCAAAAACTAACTGCTACTACTCTTTAATCTTACAGTAACCATGTTCTACTTCTAAGAATTAATAGAGAACAAAAGTTACTATTTTGCTGACTGAAGTCTAACTGTATTTTCATCTGAAAAGACAGTCAAATCTCACAGCAAAGAGAACTGTACTAAGCACAAACAAATATACACGAGCTGGACAAGGGAGTACCATGGAGAAGTTGTATTTGAAGGAAGAATTCTGTGGCTGGCGTTCCCTGAATTACTGAGGCTGACAATTAGCACTGAAGCCCGTATGTATTTGTCAGCTTCAGAAGAAGACTAGTGAGACACTAGCCGATTTATGGATGCCGTTCAACTGTGGTTTGTTTTTTTTGTTTTTTTTAAGTACAGAATTATAGAAGTGGTGGCTCTCCAAAAAAGAAATTAAGCTTCATGAGCCTTTTGTATTGACTTCTATGCTAAATGAATGCAAACACTTGTTTTGTTCCAACAGTTGGCAATGGTTCTTTCTTCCCCATAAACACCCTGCATCTACCATACTGAAATGGGGACTCATTTTAGAAAATGTGCTGTATTAAGCTAGCAGCAGAGATGAAGACTTTTTTATTTATTTCACCAGTTCATTAATAATGCTGTGGAACCTAACAGTACTGAAAGGGCCCATTACAGTTTCTGGATTGCCATTACAAAATCAAAGGAGTAACGTACCCATATTTTGTTGAAGTTTCAACAGCAACGTTGCTTTTGTCAGTTGTTTCTGCTGTGTGTCATCCATGTTGTCAGTAACTGGACAAATATCAACTGCATGGAAATCAAGTGAAGAAGTAAATACCAGGTGAAAAGCTAACAGTTGTGGTTTACAGTTGAATTAATGCAAAAGGCCAAGAACTTCGTATCAACTTTATAAAGTACATTTATGATAGGAAAAAACCCCCAGTTTATTGTCGTAGAAATGGCCCAGTAGCAACAGCATAATACTAAACTATTCTGTACAGCTGGAAGAGTAAAAATGAAGAAAAATACATTTGGGAAGGAGTTCCTCTTCTGAAACTCATTTTCCACACCCTGCTTCCAGAGTAACATATCCAAGCCCCTATACATACCCTGGGGACAATCTGACTACTCAAAGCAAACTACCAAAATGAACCATTAGCCACCTTCCAAGATCAAAGTTTTCCCTTCAAAGCCATTTGTCCAGAGTTCAGGCTACATGCAAAACTCACTGCTGCTAAAAGAGGGAGCCTAGCATAATTTCCCTACCCAAAAGCTATAAATGTCTTTTTTTTTTCCCCCCAGTGCACAGAAATTCCTTTTTTGAAGATCTCTTCAAAATACACTTTCGGAGCAGGCATAGAGGACACATTTCCCTTTGGACAATTACTAAATCCTCAGACTGCTCAGCCAGAATGTAAGAGCACGTAACTATTTCCAGACTGATGGGATTCCAACCCATATCTATTTCCTTTACATAGATTTCCCTCATCGCTTGGCTATACCCAGCTTGTTAGACAGGGGGAGGAGAGAAGAGTGGGATTAATCTTGAGCCCTCTAGCTGAACTTGTTTGTTTGTCCCACACAGAGGAACCATGCTTTGGACTATGCAGTTCAGCAACAAGGCTACTTGATGATGGTGGGCCAAAGGTCTTCAATTTGCTTTCCTGTTCCCACGATAGTTTGCTAAGGCATCACTTGTCAAAAGTTCTGTTTACAACTCAGTAGCTACTATTGCAGGTATCTTCTGGACAAGCAACCACTAAGAAAAAGTGTTTGTGCTACTGTATTGAGACTTGGATGTTTTCTGAAAGAACAGAATAAGCATGCTGAGATAAGAAAAAAAAAGTCCTAACAGATTGTTCCTATTCAGAAGATGAAGAACCCACTGCAGTACCAGGTATCAAGTTTTATCACTCCATGGAATATTCACCTAAAAAAGAAAAGGAGGCAGAAAGGAGACCTTATTGCTCTCTACAACTACCTGAAAGGGCGCTGTGGTGAGGTGGGTGTTGGTCTCTTCTCCCAAGGAACTAGCGATAGAACAAGAGGAAATGGCCTAAAGTTGTGCCAGGGGACATTTAGACTAGGTATTAGGAAAAATTTCTTTACTGAGAGACTGGTCAAACATTGGAACAGGCTGCCCAGAGAGGTGGTGGAGTCACCATCACTGGAGGTGTTCAAAAAATGTGTAGACGTGGCACTTCAGGACATAGTTTAGTGGGCATGGTGGTGTTGGGTTGGTGGTTGTACTTGATGATCTTACAGGCCTTTTCCAACCTTAATGATTCTGTGATTCTAAACAAAAACAGATCTCCCTTTTCCAGAGTGTGGTCATTAATCACCTATAAATTACAAATTATATAGTTGAGTAATAAGGCACGTCCCTGCATGATTCATATGAAAATGATTCATGGAAAAGTACTTTCTCTATCATATCATTAGCTATGAGGGAAATGTATAATCTAGATGTGTGATCAGAAAGGTTGTTTCTGTCATCTAAGATGAGTCACGGGCGTGATTGTCTTCAAAATATTCCCAAGTCAAACTTGCACAAGATCTGTTGTTACACAAAAGCACTCAAGCTAGACATTTAGGACCTGGTTTTAGCCATTTTTACCCCTGAACCCACTGACTTTGTATAGGATGTACTACAGCAGTGCAATTAATAACTGTCCAATACGAAGCTTAACAGGATAGCAAGATACATAGACATATGCACACATACATATGCGTACATTAAGTACAAACATTGCTTTGAGATCTCTCTGCAAGTTGTTCATACGTGTAAAATAATAATAATGTCACAACATTTCAATGCAAGAGGTGTTTTTTTGAAAAGAAATTATCAAATATCTCTGAAGCCCACTGGTCCACAATGAGGCCGTAGTTTCACCATTATTTTTTCTGTGCAAAGGAAAACACATCCTCATTTGCCTAAAATATGAGGAGAAATCTTCAACTAGAGTAAATGAGTTATTAATTGTTGCATGATAGCTTTTTAAGTATCTTAACTAGTACAGTAAGAGCACCACAGTCTCTCCAAAGTACTTAACAGAATTTTCAATTCCCTGAAATAATGTATCACTTTCAAAGAAGCTGACCACATTTCTTGGGTCACCTTTGAAGTCTAGATCCAGCAGGTTTCTTTCTGCTTTGGTTTTGATAAGCAAGTAGGATAGTTTGTGCCCTCTGTGTTTCTTTGCACCTTCATAAGAACTGTTGCACTTTTCTGAAGGTAGCGTTTGAAGCTGCACATCAAGGCAGCAGTGTTCGCCTGCTTGAAGCGGGGGAGGCGGAGATGAAAAAAGAAAAAAGGAAGAAACATCCTTGAGCAATTTCGTTACCATGCTGTTAAGTTATGGAAGACTTGCATTTGAAGCAGCTGTGGTATAAATCACACAAAGAGTTTTCAAAAGCAGGTGCTTTCTAGTACCAATTATATGAACCCTTAATTTTTCATTAATTCTTCAGTTTGCTAACAAAGATGGGGAAGTGATTACCACTACTGAAGTCTTATCTACTGAGTTGATCCACTCAGGGTGTTTAACACGCCACCACTACCTCCCATACCAAGGAGGAGCAAGGCTTTACTAAAGCCAATCATAAATGCAGAACTTTTAACTGCTTGTGTTAGAACACTAAATACCTTGAAACTGCAGTGTTAGAGCTATTTATATCTTTCAACTATAAATAGGTCAGTTTTTACTTTCTATTTTCCATGTAACAATTTTAAAGCATGACCCAGTAGTGACCTCACTGGAGAGTTGTACAAGGAATCAAAAGAATAAAACTGTAGGAGACAGCAACAGAGGCTGCACTAAGTAAGCACATAAAACTGACCTTCTCAAAATACCTTTACTTCATATGTTTTGACTAAAAGCTACTTAAAAATAAATCTTTTGGCTCTAGTGATTAGATCCTCTGCTTCTCAAGTGCACATTTTAAAGAGCAACAAAAAAAAGAAATTATTTGAAAAGCCTGCTCGTGTTCTTGAATTTTAAACCATTGTTTTTATCAGCAAAGTTTCCCCAGAACTTCACTATGGATAGCATTTCCAGCTACTTAAAGGCCGCTACCCAGGACCACAGGAATTTTGATACAAACAGAAAGGCTGATGTCAAAATTCACTACAAACCAAGTTTTATACCATTACCTAATATTGACTACTATTAACAAAGATAGCGCTACGCTTGGAGAAACAACAAATACTACCCAAATTGGAATGACGCATTGAAAAAGCCTTTTACACAAGGGAAACCCCAAATTATGTCACAAAAACATGTCTACAGCAATACTCAGACACTTCTTACCGAAGTACCAATAAAAATCAAATTGCAAAATTAATGCTTTTTCTTAAGACGCAGAACACTTCTCTAACACAGTTAACAGGTCTAATTTCTAAAACAGTCTTCCTGGGCTAATAAAAGTGTATAAATAACTTGTGATTTTAATAAACCACAAGTTAATAAACCACAAGTTAATAAATTTTTGTACCAAAATATTGTTCTGCTGATGGCATTATTACTGTCATTGGAACACATTCTATGGACAAACTTTACGGCGTTCAGTGGGACAAGGCCAGTCTCTCAGTTTTTTCCAAAATTCTTTTTGTATGTTTTTCCCTCTCCTCTGCTATGCACGTACTTTAAATTGCTTTAAAAAAAAAAAAGAAAGAATCCCACACACCTAACTCTATAACCAGCATGCTACAAGAACACACAAACTCATTTTGTAAGCTACCTGAACATCATTTTACACAATTTTTTGTGATGCATTGCTGTTAGTCTAATCATGCTTTCTTCCTACCCCCAGATCATACATCCTTATGTAAGCAATAAAGCTAAATTGAATCACCTTCTCTCTCCCTCCCACACTTAGCTCCACTGCTACAACATTAATTTGCTTCCCTAAGTTATACTAATTCCTTAAAGCTCAGTAATAATTAGCTTTAAGATCATTAAAGTTACTCTTATAATGCAAGAGAGATTTTTATTGGCTTTCCTGTTTTTCTTGAGGTTCTTGAGTTGTGTACATCTTTTACTTCTCAAGTCGGATTCACAGCTAACAGCTTTAGTTAAAGCCTGGGGAAAACTAATTAATTTAGAAAGACGTAAGAATTTATGGTGAGCTCTGAAACTAAGAAACTTAAAAAACCCGCCATGTGAACAAGTAGGTCAAGTAGAATATCAGTAATTACAGTTCATCTTACAATGCAACCTCATGGATACATTTCTCATATTTCTCTCCCTAAATACCAGTATCAAAAAGTGTTCACAGTTCTTAGCTGAGAATTGTTTTAAGATTTAAATTATAAAACTGTAACCTGCAGCTCATATTCACATTGATGGGGGAAAAAAAGAGGAGAAAATAAATCTCTTCCATAAGATCACAGCAAGTATTATTACATGTATTGCAACTACAGATTTGACTCCTATGTTGAAATCAAAGTCGCACGGGAAAAAAGCAACCCTACAGGAAACGATATAAACCAGAAATATTCAGTAAAAGGACGTCAGTAACTAGATTATAGCAAAATAACTGTATTAAAAGGAATATAAAAGTCTCATAACCAGATCATGAACTTATAAGAGTCAGTAGAAAATAAAAAGCTCTCTCAATTTTCTTTCAATTTTGGGTGAATCACAAAACTTCAGTTTTGGGCACTGCATTTGATACACAAACTAAGCAGAACAAAGAAAGGTACTTTGTATCTTTGAAAAAGTCAGGTTTTAGCATGAGAATCTCCTGAAAGACACAATAGATTATATATATATTTGCCAATAGCATCTTTAAAGTATTTTTTAATTATTTAGTGAAAAACCAGTAGATTTGGCTAAAGCACTCAACTTCTTATTCTAAGTAGTATCAGAACTACTGAACCCTAAAAAAAGTTGAACTACTTAAAAAGTAACCAGAATATAAAGCTTTGCAGGTGTGGGTGTTTTGTTTTTTTTTTAATCGTTTATTTTCCAGTGTGGGATCACCTCTAATTCATGTGCAGAGTAATGTATGCAAACCTTGTTTAACCATATATTTATGTATCAAATGTAGTTCATGAGCTGCAGCCATGGTTGCACAGATAATGCTGTGAAAGAACAAAATATCTGAGAGGAGAAAGAGAGGTCGGTTACAAGCCAAGCACAGAAACTGCAAGAACCCTTACCATTGTTCACGAATATATTTAAACTGTAATTCAATTGATACAAACCCTCAGAGCTTGATACGAAGTAAGTCCGTATCTGGACAAAACTGGCCTACGCCACTAGCCAACATTTTCGTAATCCATGATGCAGTCTATCCTGGTTCTCAGATACTGTATTTACCTGTGTTAAACTCCTCTGCTATATGGATATCTTCAGCTTGCACAGATTGATCCAACATCTCAACAAAACGTTCCTGAATTTCTCCAACGGCCTCATCACCAAACTTATAATCACTGAGCATCACACTGGAGCCAGCAACAGGGACAAACAGTCTTTGAGGTAAGACATGATATTCCCTCTCAAAATCTAAAAGAAAAAAGAAGGAAAAAATACCATAAAAAAAAAAGCCTTGCCAGTTATGATAAGATTCCTCATTAATCTCTGACTATAAGATAAGGCTATTGCAAAAGAACTGCTCAAGGCTTCCATATAAAAATCCTGTTTTCAGGCATGACTTGTTTAGTTGTTAATGTTTTATGAAAGTTTTGGCTGCTATTATATTGATTTATGTTCTTAGGTTAGTCTCTCCAGAAATACCCAAGACACTTCCAAAACAGACCATAAAATATTAAACAGAGCTTTTCTCATGTTTAGAATGACCACCAAAAGAACTCTGGGAAAGACTGCAGATAAGAGCGTACACAGAACTGCGTATGATTTCAACACCGCGAAGGATTGCAAACGCTTGGCTGCTTCATGCCATACTTAAAGCCACAAAGTATGAGTGCCACCTAAAGAGGAAACTGAAAACTGCACGCAACTGAAAAAGTTTAAGTCATGCAGGTTGGATGAAGTTGGCTAACACCAGAACGAACCATGTTATCCTAAAGTAAATGGTAATTCTGAACACGAATTGTTTTTCCTTACACAATCAACCTGTTTCCATTTCTTTTCTATGTTTTCTAAAATCACTACCAAAGTTAGTATATTTTAAAAGGCTTTCCTTTATGTAAGATCTTCAAATTGGTATTTCAATTAGCTAATAATATTTGGTTTAAAAAAAAAACCCAAAAAAACAACACAACAAGAAGAATGTAACTTGATACCATTGCACTGACTCAAAGTTAAAGAATCACCCAGCATGAGCTAGGAGATCTGCTCTCAGCACTTACCCCTTAGTTTTTAATATAATCATGATAGGAAGCTTTATTTTCATCAGATCAATTTGCATTGTGTTCTGGCCACTGTTAAGTTCAAGCTAATGCAATCCAGCAATTACTCATGGTGCTGAAATAAGATCTACTTCTTTAAAAGGCACAAGGCCTGTAAAATAGTATTTGATGAAGAGAAATAAGTTCAGGGCGCAGAGACAACACAAATGATATATTTGTATAGTTAGTTAAAAAAACAATGAGGATACTTCTTCACATCATAATCACCGCAAACAATGCCATATTTAATTTAACGGAGAAAAACTATTGAACTTCAGAGCTCATGACCATTAGCATTCATAACACAGGTGATAGAAAAACGTGGAAGGCCATGTCCAGCTGGTTCTTTTAATCCTACCAAGTTTTAGTATACTTCAATATTAATAGGAATACCACACAGTGATTTTAAAAAAAATATTTAAAATATGCAAGTTACATTTAGAACTGCAGCGACCGGAGTTTCAACTAAAGAATTTTTGTAAATTACAAAATTTCCAATCAGTGAGAAAAAAGCTGAAATTGCATTTTGTGGTCACGAGAACAGAATACAAACTTGATGCGAAAGCTGCGATGCCAAAGAACGTATCAACGAGACAAAGATTCTTTGGATTTAAGGAAAAGTCAAGGCTGCCACACAGAAATTGTGCTCTAACCACACTGGAACTTCAGTACACAACCAGAATTTTCTGCAACAACCAAAATTCACTGCAAATGTAAGCTGTTGTGTTTTTTTTTTTTCCAATTCCTACTTTTTTTGTGAGGTCCTTCATTTATAATCAGATCTTCAAATAGTATTTCACACCGATCACTCAATGTGTTTATTATGTCTCTTTTCAAAGCCTGCAAGGACAAAGCGAAATCATCAGTAAGATAAAAGCCATTTGCAAAGCTTTTGACCAGTAAGAAACACCAGAAGTCCCGCATAGTTTTAACTCATGTTGAAAGATAAAACCCATAGCTTTATCCCAGAAAATAAAAACTCTGAAGAGAATTAAAAATGTCCAAGAAAGAGAAACTAACAGCCAAAGAATTAAAATCAAAAAGGAAAACTAGAAAAAAATGAAAAGCTGAAGATTTTAGTATTGTTAGAAGAACTGACAACTTCTACACATGACCATTAAAAACAAACAAACAAAAAAAAATCACAAGGCTCATTCCCCACTCAATAAGGGGGAAAAAAAATAAAAATCACCTAACAAATATATCTCTATTTTCCCTCTACACATACAAAAATATAGTCTGTAACCTTTTCTTAGTTTTAAGAAAATTCTTCAAAGCCTAATCACTTTGACAACTTGTGCAAAGATTCACCAGAGAACAGCCTTAGCAACAGGAGACATATCTGCTAGAAGTGAAAAAGGAACTGATCCACCACATAGGCACACAGATGGTTTCTAAAACCACTCCTATGTTCAAGGGGATGAACATTTTGACCTCAGTTTAGACCATGTCATTTTGGCAAAGAAAAAACAGTATGACAAATTTCACGTATTTCAGAAAAATGTTTCTGATGAACTCACCACCTTTTCAGTACCTGAATAGCTTCTTTAACTTTTGGCTTGTAGTTATGTATGTAGGCTCTGCATTTCACAGCACCTTTGAGATTTATGGAACCACTGCAGACCTGGACTGTAGCCGTTGATCTATGATTTGAACCCTGGGACTGAAAAATAAACATGTTTCAGTTTTATCTCGTTACCAAGGCACTTGCAGAATAAGTAACAAAAAGCAGAACTAGGAAATTAATAGCATACCTTAAGATGTTTACATATAACCTGTTTTCCCTCATAATTTATAACTCTAATTTTTAATTTTTTTTTGTTTGTTTTGTTAGTTAAGACTGAAAATCTCTCTCCTTTTCCATTACGGAAAATGTATTTACTTTTTCAGACACTCCCTTTCTTGCAACTTAAAAATTTGTGTCTATAAGACTCCTAAAACTTGCCAGGCAAGCAGCTTGTGGCTAATGTTACTATTGCAATCTAGAAATCTTTTTAAAGATTACTTTTTTTCAACAATGAAGTTTGTATGTTTACTATATAGTCAGCATAACCTACAGTATCCTGAGAGTCATCCAATCAGTCAATACTGTATTATAAATGCAGTCACATTTAGAATTGTATCAAATTGTTGCCTAGAAATATTCACCCTAATTACCAAAACGATGAGTGTGTTGTATGAAGCACTCTAAGACAACACCTGGAAACATGGGGATGCATAACTTCCACAAGAACTGCATAAACTACTTCTGCCAAAATAAAAACTTCCCTTTCTCCGAGGCAATTAACCACTGGAACGACGTTACAAAAAAAGAAGAGATACTCATCAAGTCTTTAAAATGGCATTTTATACATTTCTAGAAGTTTTGCTGAACACGACTTTAGAGAAACCAGGAAATACCTGACAAAACAGGGTGGCCTGTGCTATGCAAGAAGCCTACAAAACAATGCCTGGACACACTTGGACTTTAGGACCTAGACCGGAGCGCCTAAATCAGGGTTCAAGTCAGCATAACCTCTGGTAGAGAGGAAACTCCTGACACAGACCTGACAGCTCCAGATTATGATTCAGCTCACAGGATCTGTACCTTAATCCAAAACAAGTGACTGAGCTTCTGACAAAAGCATTCAAGTAAATGTCCATAAGTAGCCATGGCAAGTTGAAGTATGGGGGTGATTCTGAACTTCAGAATGATGCAAAGTCACCTTGAAATCAATGTACACAGGTACATACAGGTATCCTACTATCAGGATTTCATTTCTACAACGAGTTTTTCAAATTTTCCTTGCAGCTTTACTGTGCAATTCTTAGACAATGTGGTTATCACAGCATGAGAACTTCCAAAGACACAAAATACGCAGATCTGTTCACAGTCAATATCCACAGGGGAATAAAAAGTCTTAGGACAAAGTAAGCTGGATTTCTGAACAATAATTCAGAATGTTCTTTTATTTTTCACTCTACTGTGTAAGGTAACAGAGAGGTTATACTTTACAAACCACTAAATACTTACCAGTTGTGTCAGAACTTTGACATCAGAAAACTGAGTGCTGGACTGAGTATTTCCTCTTAACTTCTTCTGTGAGGAAAAAAAATTCTGTGTCATGAAACAGGAAAAAAAAATCTCCCTGAATCAAAATCTCCTCACTATGGTATAAAATGTGCCCTACTTTATAGCTGTTAAGAGAGAAAAATGGCACATAGAAAACAGCCATGAGAATATAATGACAAAACTAAAAGGAGGGATGAATGCATCAAACAATGTGTTTCCACTCTATGCTAAATGTTTAGACACATGTAGGTCTTAGAAATCTCATCACCTACATTCAAACCTTACTCCTGTAATGAGGAGACAGCATCTAGAAAAATGTTTAGTCAGACTTCACATATAGTTATTGTGTTTCGTTGTATCATTGCCAGAGGAAGAAGAGGCAATTTGCAGCAATGAAGATGGGAACAGAAGCAGTCCTGTGTATTAATTACCTGAAATAGGCCAATTAGATCAACAAATATCTTACAGAAGACGTCTCAGTCAGTGCTTTATCACACTGGAGGTTCTAACTACACATATATTAGAGTTCAATTCCTTGTCATTCGGTACTCACCTGCCCTTCCAGTAGTTCTGTATCATCACCCCTAACTTGTCCATTGATCAGAAAAACACTGTCTTCTATTTGTTTTGACCATCGATTTAATCCATTCTTTTAAAAAAGTGAAAACACAAAAATCTCATAAGAAAGAAGAAAGAGAATTTCACTGAGTTGGCCAGTGTTATGCGCAAAATTATAGAAAAACATGTTTCAACAGTTATTCCAAGAGAGTTTTAAAGTCTCTGAAAAATCTGTCTACGTGTTTTTCCGAAGCTAAATCTTAAAACCAACATGTTCAAAACATATCCATTAAGAAACAAGTATTTAAAAATATTTAAGTGCTACACCAGGGATTTGATTTTCATAGAGAGGGATGCAGCCTATTGAAAGTCAATTCATAAAGCACCCCATATCTCTGTTCTAATTGGATGTAACCTTCCACTAGGTGAAGCAGAAGAGACTTTAGTTGGAATAACCATGATACTTGCTAAATAATTTTGAGCAAAGGAAACTGCCAACCCTAAACATAGCAGAAGAAAAGCTATCTGCATTTTTTATACTGTGAATACTTCATAATCACTTCAAATTACATTTAAAATCACTAAGGTTGGAAAGGACCTTAAAGAT